GCTATCTAGCCTCCAATTCTCACCACACGTTCCTACATTGCACTGCTCACTAAAGGGGTCATGGTCCACCCCACCAGCATGCTTATTACTTTCAGAGCTTGTTGGGTCAGCATGGACCGAATACTACCTGTTTCTCATTATGGAAGCCAGCAGCTACGCAACCACGGGTTCAGCTGGTGCTGGCTGTTTGGGATAATGTTTTATTCATTATAAATAGAGTTGCAAAATTTGCCATCAGATGGTGTCGTACAGATCCAGTTGAATAGTAAAATAGACTTCGAATTGTCGAGGGTAACAGAACCGGTTAGCTAAGCCTGCAGATGGATTGGGTTGAGTTAATGTGGCAAGATTGCGAGGCTGCCGAGGTGGATAACCCCGTGACCTTACAGGGATCGAGTACTTATTGTACTGTGAAGCTCACTATTGACTGCACATTTCAGGTATTCAAAAGTCAATACACTGAAATTGGCTTTCAGTAAGGAGCATTGCCCATCTCACCCAACCTTATGTTTAGGCATCCAGCTGCGTAATTAAAATCATTGGCAGCAATGGAAAAAAAAACGTAAAAAACGCATATTAGTTACAGCATTAAAAATGATATATACATTATAATGTAGAACAGAAATAACCCAAGTATATTATTATCAGCAGCAATAGCTCACTGCTTTATAAATACAGTGCAGTATTGAGTACTTTTCAAAGCATTTAATTCTACCCCTCAAATTCCTCTTTGTGGTGTGAAAACATGAAGTGATTCTACTGCACGTACTGTATCACATGCGTTTGCACGCGAAATGTGTGAATTTGAAAAAGGATCCCCATGAGGAAATATTGCCCATACAGGGTACACTATATGTGTAGACACACAATGTGCACCGTATACGTGTAAAGTTAAGGGTGTGCAATCAAACAAATATAATTTTGGGACACTCTCCACGCCATGTCGACCATGGGCGTTATTTGACCATACTTCACCATGCTGGTCAGTGGGAGTAACTGTGAAGAGGGGGAGTGGAACCGATTTAGACATCACTCCCCATTGATGTGAACTTTGGCGAAGAACTGAAATGCGCTGGAACATTTATTAAGGGACACCGGCTCTGGATTAACGGCAAGCACACTTGACTTGTAATCAAGTTGCGGTCGGTTCGATTCAATCTCCCGGCACAGCTGTTTGACCAATCAGCTGCTTTTGGTTTCTTTAATCCACCGCCTCTGTTCACCCAGCGGTAGAAATCACAATAATCAGAATCTTTATTTATACTGGAGGAATCCGATTAACTAAAGAGCTCTTTCGAACAAATGTCCAGCAGGGGCTGGTCAGAAATGTACAAGAACAAACTGCACAAAACACATTCTTATTCATATTCTTAGCTCTTTCGGTAAAGTCACGTTGAAGGGAAACAATAAAATATATAAAACAATAAAAAATTATCACAAGGTTTCGACCATAACACAAACGGTCGTCATCAGGAAAAGTATAGGATAATATTGATTTGAAGCTTTCGTGACTGCAGGAATCCATACTCTTTGGTTCTTTCGGTAAAGTCACGTAGGTATAAAATAAAATAAATCACGACGTTTCGGGCGCAACACAAGCGTCCATCATCAGGTGGGAAAGCATGGTCTGCTGCTGAGGCAGACTGTTTTAAAATGTTTTATTTTTATACCTACGTGACTTTACCGAAAGAACCAACGAGTAAGTATAGGATACATTTTGATTTAAAGCTTTCGTGACTGCAGTGATTCATATTCTTGGTTCTTTCGGTAAAGTCACGTTGAAGGGAAACAATAAAATAATAAAATATACACAATAAAAGAATAAAATATATATTTTGTTATTTTTTATTGTTTCCCTTCAACGTGACTTTACCGAAGGAACCAAGAATAAGTATAGGATAGGTAAACAAGTCACACGGGAAAAAAACTTTTTGTTTTACTAGGTAAAGCCCACTGAGCTATTAGCTTCTTTTTCAGAAGTAACCTTGCCACAAATGATAACTCAACGAAGTGGCTTATCATGTGGACATGTATAGCAGCCAAATAATCGCAATGAGTAGAAGCACGGTCAATTGGTTGGTAGGTCACACGTGGTGGGATGAAGTGTCGGTACTCCCACATTTCCCGAGACGTCTAGTAGCCATAACATTTAGTCCTCAGTCTTGTTTTGTTTCAATATATATTAATGGTGGAGTCTGCTATTCTGGGGCACATTGTATAAATACCATTAAAATTGTTACTGGATTGCATAAGTAATGTACAATTTTTATGCGGGGCAATACAACAATATATAATGGCTTTCATTTGTTTCAATTTTGTTCATACATATGCACCGACTGGATCTTTCATGTAGACAATAATTTTACATGTATTTTTAAAATTCAGCTTATATTGATTTATATACATTATAGAAAATGGACTGTCAGGCTTGTGAAGATGAGAAATTAATGGCGCACACTCACTTTTCAAAATTTTCATTTTCCAATATACTCACCACTATTGATGTCTCACCATCATTTCAATTTGTAATTTATCAGTATTACTCTATGTAAAGATTTAGCCTTAAATTAAGTCTCACATTGGGCCATTGTGACATCCCGAGTTCATTCTCGATACGTTTTAACTGCACGTGTGTTGCATTTGCAGCCTTGTAGAAGCCAGATGTTCTACAAAGACTTTAAAGTTTACATTTGGCACAAGCTTAGTCCAGTTTATGCCTACAACTTAAACCTTTCTTACAAAAAATGTATTTTATTTTGCCGCCTCCCCACCCCCACTAATTCGGGAGCAACATATGTTTTATTCTAAAAAATTTTTACTTAGATCTACAAAGGTTTGCACCTGGAGGTTTGGGCAGTTTGGGATGACGTGGTGATCTTGTGCAGTAGGTGTACTGTGATTGTGTCGGCCCACTCATCTCTCTTGTGAGCTGTCTTGGTCACACTCACGATACATTTCGATGGACAGGCTTGGCAAGGGTGCAAATCATTCATGGAGGTTTGGGCTGATAGCCTTTAGTCACCTGCAGATTCAATCCAAGTTTGGAGATCTTACAACAAAGGTGAGTGGGTTGCAAGAGCACATTACACCGACACAAGATGTATAGTTTCTATTTTGGTACTTTTTTAACAGGGTAATTCCTACAGACAATAAAAAGGTGGATAAAGCCCTCCATGAGTTACTTATATAACATATGCTCGGAATTTCTCATGATCCCTAGAATGGAATTATAATTATATTACTGAAATCCAAGGCCGTAGCCATGGAGTCAATTTTGGGGGGACCAAATCTTCCAGGTTGTCTGGGGGTCCCAACCAAGAAAAAAAATCTACATTTGAAAACTAATTTCCTGCCTAAAGTATTAAAAATTCACTAACACATGGGATGGCCTTTTATTTATTTTTAACAATAATGTCTAATAGTGTATATTGTATTTACATTGCTCTGTTTTTACTTTTTTACCATTTCTTGTTTCATTGTATATAATGGCAGAGATTAGGGATTAATAAAGTACAACCATAACCACAATCATATGAACAGAAATCTATGCATTGATTTACATGAAGACAAGTACAGATATTGTGGCCAAGGTTTAGCAAATTGTTGTTTTTATTTACATCGCATAGCAATTATTTTTATAGCAATATATTGCGGGGGGGACATTTTGAGCATATTTGAATATTGGGGGGGGGGGGGGAATGTGTTAACAAGCACGGTAGATGCCTAGTGTGCAGAATTGGCCAAATTTCACCCCAAATCTTTCATGGTGGAATTGTAGGAATCCACTACGATTATCGTAATCATTGTTCATCTCTCATATGTATTGCATATGAAACATGTATAATATATATTGTATATAACCATTACTGCCCCGGTTATCATACTCATGCTAATTGCAGTACAATTAAATGCAACATTAATCTTTATAAAGCATTGCAATCTGTTTTGATGAAGCCATTGGATAGTCATATTTTGAAGCAAGAAATATAATAAAAATGTTTTATTATTCAATACATAGAGGTCACATTTGAAGAAGATATTGGACTTATTGTACTCTGAATGGGAATAACCTTTTCTATGACATTCCTTCAGGGTGAACATTTGCCATTGACAACTGTTCTTGAACTCGAGAGACTTGCAGTGATTGTGTCTCTGAGCACTCTTCAGTGAACCATGGTTGGTTTTATAACAACAGCAACAACACGGTTTAAATGTTACAGGCCCAATTTAATACAAAGAGTGTGTTTCAATTACAACTGACCAGCCCACGGATACTCATGTCAATTTATTTCCTTTCAAATTCCTACTTTGCTCAAACGTGGTATGTTGCACTTCTTTTGCGCCATACGTAGCCAACAATGTTCACCGGAGGTGCGGTCGTATGTTGACAGCCCTGAACCAGTGGTGAAAATTCTACAATTTTGTGGCGAGGACAAATCTCTCCAGAAGACAACCGTTATACATGACGCACTGCAGTGATATATGCACTAACAAGAAACACATTCCTGCGGAGGGAGCTGGTAGGAACGTTGGGTTGCTCGGTCAATGGCCAGGGTCAACGGCGGCACCACGTGGTGTATTCCGCAAATATGCCCGACTGTGGGGGCGGGCACAAGCCGGCGTGAGTAGGTTAAACGTTGAGTTTTATTAGGGCACCACGGGGTGACCAGCCCCTCCCCACCCAGCCCCTCCCCACACAGAGTGGCGTGGTGAGAGTGTGTGTGGCATGGTGATTGAGTGGCGTGGTGAGTGTGAGTGGCATGGCGAGTGAATGTGAGTGGTATAGTGAGTGGCGTGGTGTGAGTGATGTGGTGCGTGTGTGAGTGGCATGGTGAGTGGCATGGCGAGTGAATGTGAGTGGTATAGTGAGTGGCGTGGTGTGAGTGATGTGGTGCGTGTGTGAGTAGTATGGTGAGTGGCATGGCGAGTGAATGTGAGTGGTGTGGTGAGTGTGTGAGTGGCATGGTAATTGAGTGGCGTGGTGAGTGAGTGAGCAGCGTGGTGAGGGTGTAAATTCTGTTTCCACAGAAGTTGCATGTCCCCTGCAACTGGAACGGCAGCGGTAGCAGCAGCAGTCAAACTCGTGAGCAGCAGGGGTCATGCGTGGCCGCTCCTGCCTGCAGCAGCCGGCAATTGCGAAATAAATGAGAGAGAGAAAAAAAACCACCCTTCGGGGTGTGGAGGAAGGCAAAAAAAAAGGGAAAATGTAGCCATGAGGTGGAGGGGGGAGGATGTATGGCTGTGTGGGTAGGGCTCAGTGTAAGTGTGTGTGTGTACACACACGGCCGTGTTGAGCATGGGGGAGGTAAGGCGGTAGACAGCTGATTGTTGTGGGAGGTGGCGTTGGGGGGGTGGTGGTGGAGTTAGTCGGAGTGGTGTAAGGAGTGGACCGTGCGTGAATTTTTTCAGCTGAAGTTGCGGTTGTAATTTCAACAAACAAAAAATCTCTCTCTCTCTCTATATAAATACACACCCCACCTCGCGCTTCGCGAGAGAATCCTTCAGCTGCCGTGCCAGACCGTTCGCCGTGGCTCGGGGCAGCGCACGCTCGCGCGAAAAACAAGCCAAGAGGGAAGGGAGGAGAAGGAACGGAGGAGAAAGAAACACTGCAGGCGGCTGCACTGAGTGCACAAAGAAGTAGGCGCCGCCGACGCTGCCGCGTTGGCCGATTAGACGCGGCGCGTCTCGGGCTGCGAGGTTCAGCAAAGGGCCGCCTTGACGGAGCGACGCGCGTGTCTCGAGACAATGACAGCGGCGGTGGCGGTAGCAGTTGCGTGACACAACGACAATGGGAGAGCGTCAGGACGCAAACATCCACCCACCCACAGCCACCCACCCCCATCACCACCGACCCTGCGGGTTCTCCCTCTTGTGCTGCTGAGTGAGTAGCAGCAGCGGCGGCGGCAGCGATGTGAACGAAAGGCAACGAACGCGCACGAGACACTCTCTGTGTACGACGCCGCCGGCTGCTGCTGCTGCTGCTGTTTGCTGCTCGTCTCGTCCCAGCCCAGCCGATACTTTTACGCACGCCGCAACTTGACTGCATCACCCACCACCAAGCAAGAGTGCGGCCGGTAAGACGATTCTGTTGCATTGCTTCAGCCGGCCTTTGTTCCGTAAGGTTAAGTTACTTGTTGTCACCCACCCTACCTACCCCCCCACACACACACACAAACACACACACACACACTTTTTAGGGCGCTCCTTGTCCCTTCGCTCGCACGCACCTCCAAGCAGCACGGTTTTGACTACGTACGGCGCGGAAGAAATTCAACGCACGTGTGTGTTTGAGTTCGCTCTTGCGACCCATTTTCACGGTGGATTCATTTCAGTCGTGGCCGGGATTCGTGTGTCCGGTATTCCACATCCAGCCTAACTCAAGTCTGTCGATGATGGGTTAATTCATTCCTGCGCTAAACCTAATGTGCTGCATATGTTTATACTGAGCATCGTATGCTCGTCTGTCGGCGTATATAGAGCGCACTCTGCACCACGTTGTTTTATTGCAGCCTTTAAATGTTTACTTTCCTGGCAATCTCAATTACTCGTTCACGGTTAAAGTCCTTCTCGGGATGTTTAGGACTGTACTGTAATTCTTTTTGGTCAAACGTCCATTGCCATAATTTGCCCCGTTTGACCAAAGTGAACGCGATTAAGAAAGTAATGCATCGTTTTAAATGAAACGTTCAGTATGTTTCCAAAAGTATTTATAAAACCGTTCGTTGTAAACAAAAGTGAGCGATTTATACCATGTTAGGATGTATTATTGTACGTGGGTTTTTTTTCGTATTTAATTTTAACACGGTACGTCTCAGAATCTGAATTTATTTACACTGGAAAAATCCGATGAGCTTTCAAGCTCTTTTCTCACAGATGCCCAGTCGTTTCACAGACGTTTCAGTCATATTCAGCGTGAGGTTTCATGCACTATTTAAGGGCCCTCCAGAGCTGCCTCCTATCAGAAGGCTCTTCTGTCAGCAGTGGCATGGGCGAGAAATTGCAGGGCTGCACCTTTCACCGTTTACCTCTTTACATATTTGGTCACAAAGGTTTGCACTCATTTATCGGGGTTTTTTTCTCTCTCTCGCTTTGCTCACACCTTGGCATTTTTTTATCCAAGTTGTCCCCTCATAGAAGGGGTTCTCAATAATCTCGGACACAAAAGGAAACATTGAACACCCTGTATTTCAAAATAATGGGTCCCCAACTATACATTTAGAGACGTCCAATTGAACTCACACTGATAAATATATATGATACACAGTTTATCTTTCTTCACACGTTGCATCTCGCCTCAGTTTTTTCCTCATAAAAAAAGAGAGAAAATAGTCCTCACCCGATAAAAAAAAAATATTTGACAAACGACTTGGTTGCGTATTACAAATTAATAACACATAAATGACGCCCAACTGCTTAAATTAGACACACAATCAAGCTTACATTTGTGATATATACCTTCGTGTATACAAACAACTGATGTAGTACGTATGGAACTGCAGTCCTGTACTGTTGTTGTATTGTTAAACTTTACAGAAAAAATGCGGATACTGACTGTGTGCACATTTTACGCAGCAAAAAGCGAATGCGTTTTTGAGCACGGTCGAAATACGTGTAAGTTAGCTACTTTGCGTTCAGGGTTGCGACTATAGGCGGAACAAAGCAAACGTTTACAGCTCCAAGTAGCTCAAGGGGCATCGGATTAATGGATTTATAGAGATGCACCAACTATGAACTCGGAATTCAGATATAATAAACATAAGAAGTGCATTAACATAAATATATCTCTCATCTCTGCTTTATCTGAAGCTGTTTTCTCTCATCTCTGTCTCTTGGCTACACAACTCCCATTTCCAGACATTTCTCTTTCATCTAGCGATGTATTGAAAGGGGGGAAGAGCCCAAAAATCTGGTTTGCTTAGGGCCCCCAATCGGCCAGCACCACCACTTCTTGCGTTATAACAACCACATGTCAAATGTGGCCTTCCGACGGTCTTACATCCACGTGTGCTTGGCAGCTCGGCACGGACACAATCAGAGCACACCACCTGCTCGTGCATATGTCGCGGGATTCCAAGACACGAACTCCTTCTTTCAAGGGAGGATACTCAAACGATGAGCCTCACTACACTGCTAGAGTACCATCGGTAATTGTGTGTTCAAGGAAAGGGCAGTCTGAAATACAACACTCGCAGTCCACAGCAAGTGGTGGAACGCTCAATATTTGGTGGGATTCTCCAAGCTTGCTCTGTGAGTCAACACATTCGTTAATGACGCTGCCGTAAAATAAGGAAACATACATCATCATCATTATCATCATCGTCACGATCCATGGGCAGATAACCCATAGGTGTCCACTGCACATTTCGTCAATTGTTTACATTTCCTCTGGCTTGTGCCAATATGCTCAAGTAGTACACATCTTGTCTGGCACCAAAACATATATAGTGGCCCGACATTCGGGGCAATTGTCCTTTTCCATAGCATCCCTTTGCCATGTAGAAGGGGCATTGCCCCAAACGTCACGTAAAACAGCATACATTTCCCCCGTTAGGGCAGCGTTATTGATGAATGCGTTGAGTTATTGGCATTCGTGGTCGTGCATCACTGCCAATACAGTTTCAGAAAAAGGTCATTTTATTTTTTTACACTTGATGCTGTGTATTCATTGTGGCTGCTAGGACAGAACTGGTGTTTCAAGATAGCAATGTGTGGCGGTATTCCCAGTTGGAATTTAAGAATTACAATAAATTGTTACATTGTCCCTTGTTGATTACTTGTCAGAGTTATACGGCCTGTACGAGACATCTCGTATAGGTTGCATGTAAAACTATTTCCGCATTCCAACATTGTGAGTTAGTTACTCTACGAGGCCATGGGTCGACGTTGGGGTGTGAAAGAGGGGAGTGCAGAAACATAATTCACTGTGTCGTTCTGTACTCCTATGCTTCCACGCGCATGGCTCCCCGCCTTAACTAAACTCCCACTGATGATCTGCGTGGTGAAGTATGCTGAAGTAGCCCTACAATCCGCACACCACTGGAAGGCCCGCATCCAGCACTAGATTATAAGTGCTGTACATACGAAGCTTTTCCCGAGTGTATTTGGCACTGTATCTACAATGGTAGAGCAGGCTTTTCAAATAAACTACAAAAGTTTTCCCATATATAGTATAGTGAAAGAAAATTCAACTAAGCAGCTATTTTAAAGTACAGTTTATTGTGCTCTGTGAACCCACTGCTTGATTAAGAACTGCATGGTGGCTGTTTCACCATAGTTCACCGTTATGGCGAGTGTGGGTTGGTGAAGGGGCGGTCCAGGGCTAGTCCAAATATTGGAGTGTTGCAGCGTTCAATAAAACGTAAATTAGTAATGAACCAAGAGCGAACTTACAACATGTATATTTGTATTATTACCAGTATCCTACTGAATCATTCTGAATCATTGACTGCAGAAATTCATATTGTTTGGGTCTTTCGGTAAAGTCACGTAGATATGATCAAAGACATGTTTTGTTATTTTCTTTGAACCTGTCTACGTGACATTACCGAAAGACCCAAACAATATTGCACATTCAGTTATTCAAAGCTTCACGCACAGTTAGATTTGAAAAAAAAAATTCATTTAAAAGCAATCAAATAATTTTGTTCTGAGTAATAGGCCAAATTATGTGCTACGCAATGACATTTAACAGTAGTTTTAGTTATGGCGGTGTGGTATTACGTCTAGAATTATATATTGGCTGTAATGCTACCGCACTCTCAATATTAATTAAAGAACCACACTCCACGGGTGTATATGTTCTCTTATCTAGCCAGCTACATAAAACCGCCCGCCTTTAAATGCTTACATCAAGCTTAATGGGCGAGATAGAGCTACTCTAGTGTGTGTGTGAGACAATGGGGCACATACACTCAGCTTGTGACAGACGATATCGTGGCAGTGGATGGAATTTGACCACGGGAAATGACCACACCAAAATCGAGGTGCAGTAGCAAGTGATTACTATATTTGCATTGTTTTTGTATTCCAATGCACAACACTTTCCAGATTCTTTGGTTCTATTGGGTAAAGTCACGTAGGTGAAAATAAAATAACAAAAAATCACGACGTTTCGGCCACAACACAAGCGGCCTTCATCAGGTGAAGGGACGAGACTGTCTGGAGGACAGCGCTGTATTATTTTATTTTCACATCCGTGACTTTACCAAATAGAACCAAAGAGTGTGGATCCTAGCAGTCACGAAAGCTTTAAATCTAGAACTTTCCAGATTGCACTGATATGCGGGGCAAAGCGATGAACGTGGGAGGGTCAGCAAGGGCAGCATTATTGCTTCGTTGGTTGTCGAGCATAAAGTCTCTCGCTATGTTTGGCCGTGACTTTGAGCAGATTTCCAACCGCAAAAGTTCCAAGGACACGTGTGTGCATTGTTTTAAAATGTAGACCTATGCATGATTACCTAATGTTGAAGTGAATCTGACGTGTGTTAATGTTATGATTTAAAGCCTTCGTGACTGCAGTAATTCACATTCTTAGCTCTTTCGGTAAAGTCACGTTGAAGGGAAACAATAAAATAATAAAAAATATATAAAACAATAAAAATTCTCACGACGTTTCGACCATAACACAAACGGTCATCATCGAATAATAATATATATTTTATTATTTTATTGTTTCCCTTCAACGTGACTTTACCGAAAGAGCTAAGTATATGTGTTCATGTGTTTATGAAGATTTGGGTTAGCTCTATGACATGATGCATACCTAGAACAGTCCCATAATTTGTTCGTATTTTGCTTTATAATTATAAAAAAAATGTGTCCACATCTGCAGTAGTATATATGATGGGCAGTGAGTGGATTTTGAGACTTTAAATTCAATGTTAGAAAGCTTTGACATCGTTACGGAGGTCTATGTTGAAAAATTAAATAAGTGTGCTTCCTTCAAGACTTTAAACATTCCGTTACAAAACATTGTGGGTGGACATTGGGACCATGCAGCTAGCCTTTCTCAGAAATAATACAAAGGACAGTTGGCCGAATGAGGTTTGTTGTCACCCACATCCAGAACTGTACTGCAATTGTTCCCGATATTGGGGTGTTATTGTGTGTGAGTTTGTGTGTGCAAATCCCAGTCGTTTAGTCCAAGCTCAGCTTGTGTTTTTTTAATTTTCCTCTTTTAATCAGATCATAAGCTGACGGATGGTTCCATTGGGTGGGCTACCTTATACAGGACACAAAGTTCAACCTAATCATTGTGTTGCCACAGTGACACAAGCAGGGCTCACAAGTAAGTCAACTCCCTGTATTTGAACAATAGATGTGTGAAAGACTGCATTATTTGTACAAATTCAGTCATGTATTTGTTCTATTCTATGTACGGGACTTAAGCTACATTTGCAGGTTCCAACATTGATTTTAATATATAATTTTAGTTTCCTCTGTGTAATAATTAAATATCTGTGCTTGGAATGGTACACTTGAATATATGTTATACAAACTGGTGCTTTACATTTCTGGCTCAATGTTAACATTCACGTATTTATCATAACCAGATTACAGTTTAATTTGTTTCAGCTATATTGCACGAGTAAGGCCAAGTAAAGTGTGTGTAAAGTGAACTGCCAAATGCACTGAGGTACACACCAATGAGATGCAGTGTTATTTGTAATTAACATAATCAAAAACATTTCATACATAAAATGTCAGTATTTTTTTGTGCTGCTTTTAACAATATAAATTGATTAAGTTCTTGAGTTCCGCACTAATTATATCATAACATATCCGCTCTGCTGATAGCTACTGCATCGCAAATTACATATGCCAGTTTTGAATGTAATGTCAACTTAATGTTTCATTTTAAGAGTGTTTTTTTCTGGTCTCTATATATCACCCTCCCCAGCCCATATTATCTCTTGGTCTTGAAGCACATTTGCCTGTAACTGCTGTTAACATTATTTTGCTGGGATCCACATTATTGAATCGAAATGCCTTCAAGAGCATAGCTCCTCGGGCACATGTCTGATGGCTTGGTGAATGACGAACAAGAAGAAGAATGAGAACCAGAATTAAATACTTCATCGTTCTTCTGCTCATTGCCGTCCTGGTCATCATAGAAAAGGAAAACCATGTCATTTCAAGGTGAGTGAATGTGTGCTGCATCAGAATGCCTCTTCTCATAATGCTGCAGGGGTGAATTGCACTTCTCACTTTGGGAAGATTGATGGCTCTACCAAGCACCCCGAAACACAACAATAGATATATATTTTAGGTGTTTGCTTTGTTTTTTTTTGGATGGAGGGCATGTCAGCTGGGAGCTAACACACTTGCCTTTGTGTTTGAGTGCAAGGACCACCAGTTTGGAAAAGCAATCTTGACTTCAAGGCTTGAGCTCGAACCAACAGATCACCGTGCCTTTTTCGAGAAAGCCATCGCTCGGAAGGAATGCTAAAGCTAGTTTCTCTGTGTGCATGCAGTTGTTAAAGAACCAATGGTGCTCTTGCAATAAAGGCCAATTACCCTATTCTGCACACATTTCCCTATGCAGTATTGTATGTAACATTTTGTGGGGGCATCTTATAATGTGGTAGGTGTGTGCATGTGACCAGACTAGTATAATTGTATTAACATCAGGCACAAGTTCGGGGTGTGCCTTACTTTCCCGAGTGTCTTCAAATCCAGTGAATGCGGTACTGTACGTGTTGTCCTTTACATCAGGACATCGTAAATTGGACATTTTTATCTGTAATGCCGTAAAACTACAGTACATTATTTCCAATTACGGCAACTCTCAATTCGAATTAATTACACGCATTTTTATTCATTTTCACATTTTTTTGTTTAAGCAGATTAGTTCAACTGAGCCACATGATGATAATTTGCGAGGAAAGCACGTGGCCTGTATGGTGGATTAGATTGGTAATTACAGGAATATTTTGAAATGTAATTTTATTTGAATATTGCCACAAAGTGGCCTGCTCTTGTGGTGTTACTATATCCCCAAAGTCCCAAAATAGCCTGTCGTCCAAAACAACAACACTCTCATTTCATAATGTTTTCTTCAAACAACTCAATAAATTAAATTACGTGATCTATCTTGTAGAACATGCTCTTTTTAGCTCAATCCATTTGTCATACCCTCAGAGGTCGCTACAACTGAATCGAATGCACACCTCAATATTTGAAATGTTTTTTTGTGTGAGGCTCAGTAGCCCGATATAGACATTAGACCCCTTGCATAAACGTTATAACACAATTCGTCATTGTACGTTTTTACTATTATTTAAATATAAGAATGTCATATGTATCGGTGAGGGTTTTTGGCATTTAAATTTCACGTGCTGGATACATTAATCTATCAAGAATAAAAGAAGCCTGCATTCAAGATAAGCAAGAGCAAAACAAAAGTATTTTACAACAAGTTTGCTCAACAAAAGAACAAGGTCATCGGTGGGGAAGGCAGGGAAAATAAAAATAACAGCTATACCTAGTGGAAAATGTTACATTCGATCCATGATGTCCAAATGAGAAGCATTATATACAGGAATGTGATGGCCAGGTTAGAGCATGGCTCTCTTAAAACTGGGAGAATTCTTCCTCTAGTGAACACTTCACAGCAGAGCAAGCATCATTTGCCTGATTGCATGCACAGTCCACGCTGATTATAATTCTCAAAATGGAGCAATCTATTTAAACAATCCTATTTAAAAAAAAAAAAACCTCCAATGTAAATATTCAGGCTCAATCTGATTCAATTAAATATTCTTTGGAATCTCTTTTTCACTTCTTCTCCAATTCTCCCACCACCGTCCAGAAATCACTTTCCCCGGCCATCCATGCTGCCGGCTCCCTGCCCCTATTAAAATCCGAGCTCAGCATCTATCACTTCTCCTCTGCCTCCCCAATGTGTTTCTATTCATAAAATATACGATGTCTAATTTTCCAGAATTCCCATGTCCCACTGTTTTGTACAGCATCTTGAGATGCAGTTTCGAATTTCTACGTGAGGCAAATCCAAATTGTATTGTATTTTATTGTGAAATGTTTGAGCCTCATGACTTCAATTGTACTTAATTACCCTGTAAACAAGAATAGAGTAATCTACAAGTTCATGTTGCTGACAGATGGTTACATTTTGATTATAAAACACTGCCATTCATTGCATTTTTAAAAAAATTGAAATGAAAATGGCCATAGTACACATTTTAATTGCTTACATTTTTTTTAAATGCAATTTTTTTTTACCATTCTGCTTGAGCCAAACCCTTTATGGAATTTATAGGTCACATAAAATAAACTATTTTCATCATTGACGTACGGATGCCTTTTATACTGTGCATGTCTTACCTTGTGAATTTTATCGTGATATGTAATGTATTATACATTGCTGGCCTATACTTATCAAAGTCTGCGTGACATTTTTAACAATTCAGCTTGACAGTTTCAACTGGCTTTTCCTTTTTTGAGCAATTTCCGTCCAAATTGCGCCATTCATACTTCATGAAGCATTATACGGAAGGGAACATGACAACTTTAACATTATGCTCATAATTCTCTTCGCAACATTTTCTAATAACACTGCTTTACCATTTCTGTTTTTGTGCAGAGTCACGGAAAAGTTATCCGAGAATTCCATCAGTGGTAAAGTGTTTTCACACAATGAGCCGAATTCCAGGACTATGGGGTCTCAAAACTCATCTTCGTCCACCGCTGCTGTATCGATGACCAGCGACAGAAGCTCGCCGAGACCTCGAGCCGACAGAAACGGCACGGTCAGGGCGGCACGCCGGCTCGTGCCGCATCAGACCAACGCGTCGTCTGTTCCGCCGAAGCCCAGCAGGAAGCACATCGTGCTGCTCACCACCACGAGGACGGGCTCCTCCTTCATCGGCGAGTTCTTCAACCAACACAAGGGGATGTTCTACCTATTCGAGCCGTTCTGGCACGTGGAGCGCACCGTCAAGCTGGCGGGGCCCTACACGGCCAGCGCCACCGCCCTGTCCATCGTGTACCGCGACGTCCTGCGGCAGCTGCTGCTGTGCGACGTCCCGTCGCTCGGGGGCTTCCTGGAGCCCCCGCCGCAGGAGCACGTGACGGGCGCGCTCTTCCGCCGCGGCTCCAGCCAGGCGCTGTGCGAGGAGCCGGCGTGTGGCGGCGGAGCCGGCGGCAGGGCCAGCAGCAGCAGCAGCAGCAGCACGGGGAGTACGCGCGAACGCTTCCCGTGCCGCATGCGCCGCTGCGAGGCTCTCAACCTGACGCTGGCGGCCCAGGCCTGCCTGCTCAGGGAGCACGTGGCCATCAAGACGGTGCGCATCCGCAACCTGCCCACGCTGAGGGCAGTCGTCGACGACCCGCGGCTTGACGTCAAGGCAAATGCAGCACATCGCCCCCCCCCCCCCCCCCCCCCCCGCCCCGCCCCCCTACTGGCAGACTCATGCCCATTGGAAGGCCGGCGCTGTGCGACACCCCATGCTGCACAGGGACAACTGCTACAGGGGGGTCCCCTAGACTGCAGCAGGGCATTGGCATGGTTGAGATCAGATGTCAGGTGCCATTGAGCTGCCAAGGCATTTAACCACCCCACGAATGCAAATCTTATTTAAGTGTTACGTGATCCTGTGGATTTTAGACGATGAACTTTGTCATTTTAAACCTGGCTTGGGAGTGGAGGCGGGGAGCCCACTTTTGGATCAATAAAATGAGAAGCACTTTGTGGCAAATTCACAGTTGTCCTGTGCACAAACCGGCTCTCACCAAATAAACACTTCATTTTCACCACTGTTTATTATAATTCTACAGGTTCACAACGTCATGCCCCTTGCTACTCGACGATAAGGCACTGACGTGGAGATGCACTTTGTCATGAATTTCTCAGATAATCCAGCTGGTGAGAGATCCACGGGCCGTGCTGGCCTCTCGCATGGTCGCCATGCCAGGGCAGTATGAGGCCTGGGAGAAGTGGAAGCTGACCGGGGCCAAGCCAGACGACCTGGACATCAGCCGCATCAAGAACACCTGCGACAACATGAAGATCACAGCAGAGGTTGGCTGGCTTCACCTCGTCTCTCCTTCCTGGATCATTAAAGTTGGGAGATCACTCCTTCCTTTGCTGCTCCCAAAACACTAGAACACTCTCCCCCTGGCCGTTGACCTTGCTGAATGATTGCAATGTTCACGAGTAATATTCCTGCAAATATTGTGGTGTGTGATTAATCTCTAGAACTTCATTGCAAAGCCTCTTACATTACCATCATCCACATCAACCATGTTCAGACCACTGCTGGATGAAGGCCTCACCAAGTCATCACCTTCTCCCACAATTCTGCAATGTAATAAGCGCCCGAGTCTCTTCTTAACATTACGCGAAAATGCCTCTTTGACCGCCCCCTTCACCACTGCTGGGTATTATTGTCCCCTTTCTTGTACTGCATGCACAGGTAATTTTGTGATGTCTTCCTTTGTAAACCCACGTTATATTTGCACGACATATGTTCTCTACACGTCAGATGATACGGAATCAAGCTGTGAGCTTATTTGCCCGAAGATATAAAAGAAGATTAATTTCACCCATCCTCTGAACATGAACATTATCTGAACTGCCGCATTGAACTGAAACCAAATGCTCCTGTTGGACACAGCTTCTTTAATACGTATATTCACAGTATAAAATACATATTCAGTACTGTGTTCTCAAACTTAAATATATTTATTTTATGCCACATTATGTTATCTAGATTATGTAACTATAAAACTACAAAAACAATGAGACAAATGGTAAACACTGCAAATGAGACAAAATGTATTGTTTCTTGAATGACTCCAAACACGAACACTGTTGGGGGAGGGACAACATCACTACACGCCCTCTCTCCACCCGTAGCACAGAGAGATAGATGGCGAAAAGTTAAAACAGCTCGGCAATTACTCTCTCATGCCATTGCTGGCATATAAAGATTCCTCCACTAGACAGCGCTTCTCGAGGGTATTTGGCCTCATCTTCTATGCCGGCCAGTCGTTTGATAGTAAGAAAGAGCACCCACACTTCACCCCACCACGCACGTCCTTCCAATCGACTTCGACGTACCCCATTTATACTGTTTAACACGTAGGCTTTCGCGACCAATATTATTCATAATAAAGGTTTTTGGGTTAGATCGCGTTTATTTATAAATGTGTCGTAACCCTCCACCACCCGACACGGCCAATCAGCAAAAAAAAGTGTCACGTTGACAAAAGACAAATAATTCACTACTTCAGCCCACCGGTGTGTTGAAGAGTTAATCCACATTTACAGTTTGAGTACGACGTTTCGCTGGTAAATACATCCAGCATCATCGGGCAATTCGCCAGAATGGTAAAGCCCTCGCTTGCTCCCGGTTTTTATATAGAGCAGCAGGGTGACGTCATCACTTAACTCATATCAGGTGCAGTGATTAGAGGCGGAGGGGGGGTATTGTAATTATATAATCGATTAGTAATCAGTCATTGGTTATGATTAGTAATGAGTTGTAGATTAGTAATTCTTTAAATGTAATGTGTATTATTTAATAATACGCTTCCAGGCCGCACTAAGCCGGTAGCTGTCAGAGCGATTAAAGTTATTCTTGTTCCTCTCAATTTCAATGGATTCTCTAATTAGTCTTTGCCAGTAATAATTAGTTTTACACACCACTGCAACATTGTCAAAATCAATTGAGTGTCCTTGTTGACAAGCATGTTCTGCCACTGCCGACAGTTGTGTTTGAGATAATTTAATATTTCTCTGATGTTCTTTTAGTCTTACGCTGATGTTACGTCCCGTCTGCCCAATGTAGCAGCTGCCACATGAACAATTAATCCGATATACACCTTCTGTTGATAGTTTAGGTAATGCATCTTTAGTGCAAGATACTAGTTTTTGAATTTTGTGTACTGTACCAAATCTTACTGTAATGTTTTGCTTTTGCAGAACACGGGCTAATTTGTCAGTTACTCCTGAGATATATGGAATTTTTATTGTTTTAACAATCTGGTCGCTTTCAGTAGTATTGCTTTGCGATCGTGATTTGGCATTCAGTGCTCTGTTAATTTGAGCATTGTTGTAGCCATTCTGTCGTAGTGCGTCTTTAACGTGTTTAATCTCTCTCACTAGACTCTCACCATCTGACACTGTTTTGGCCCGATGTACGAGCGTCTTGATAAGAGAGGATTTCTGAGCTGGATGATGATGTGATTCTGCATTCAGATAGGCATCAGTGTGCGTTTGCTTTCTGTAAACGCTGTGTGTTATTTTACCGTTTAGGCCATGTCCAAGCAAAATATCTAGGAATATTTTGCTAAACTATCAACAGAAGGTGTATATCGGATTAATTGTTCATGTGGCAGCTGCTACATTGGGCAGACGGGACGTAACATCAGCGTAAGACTAAAAGAACATCAGAGAAATATTAAATTATCTCAAACACAACTGTCGGCAGTGGCAGAACATGCTTGTCAACAAGGACACTCAATTGATTTTGACAATGTTGCAGTGGTGTGTAAAACTAATTATTACTGGCAAAGACTAATTAGAGAATCCATTGAAATTGAGAGGAACAAGAATAACTTTAATCGCTCTGACAGCTACCGGCTTAGTGCGGCCTGGAAGCGTATTATTAAATAATATACATTACATTTAAAGAATTACTAATCTACAACTCATTACTAATCATAACCAATGACTGATTACTAATCGATTATATAATTACAATACCCCCCCCTCCGCCTCTAATCACTGCACCTGATATGAGTTAAGTGATGACGTCACCCTGCTGCTCTATATAAAAACCGGGAGCAAGCGAGGGCTTTACCATTCTGGCGAATTGCCCGATGATGCTGGATGTATTTACCAGCGAAACGTCGTACTCAAACTGTAAATGTGGATTAACTCTTCAACACACCGGTGGGCTGAAGTAGTGAATTATTTGTCTTTTGTCAACGTGACACTTTTTTTTGCTGATTGGCCGTGTCGGGTGGTGGAGGGTTACGACACATTTATAAATAAACGCGATCTAACCCAAAAACCTTTATTATGGACCCATTTATACTGCTGGCACGGGGAGATGCCCGCACTAATTCACATTCTCCTGAGAGCGAACGCCTTCCGTCAGCAGCAGCAGCGTGTCTCAACACGGTCGCGTACTGACAACCTCGCGCCGACCCTGCTCCCGCTGTGATCTCTCCGCCAGATGGGGTGGAGCGGCGGGCAGTGGCTGCGCGGTCGCTACATGCTCGCGCGCTATGAGGACGTATCGCGGGAGCCGCTCGCCAAGGCGCAGGAGATGTACCGCTTCGCCGGCGTCAACATGGATGCCTCCGTGGTGCGCTGGATCGAGAGGAACACGCGTGCCACAGAGCCCATGGTGGCCGTGAAGAGGGTGCTGGATATCGGTGACGTCTTCTCGACCGCGCGCAACTCGGCGAAGCAGGCGGAGCGCTGGCGCCTCTCCATCCCGTTTGCATTCGTGCAGGTCGTGCAGGAGGTGTGCGCCCCAACGTTGAGAATGTTTGGCTACCGCCTGGCCACGAGCGCCCTGGATCTCGCCAACATGAACGTCAGCCTCGTGGAGGAGCACATCCTTGGCGTGCCAACCTAGAGCAGAGTGGCAGCCGCCAATGCTGCTGCTGCAGAATGCCTGCCACCCGTTTGGTAATGTCTGAAGTTGTCGAAGATGACCGCAGCCCTGGTTGGACATCACCATAATTCACACAGTGGAAAAAGACACTCTTCTCTAAGGACCTATGGCAATATGGCTGAACACCCTCCTCATTGATTACCATTTTATGGGCTGAGATCTGACCCACCATAATATAAGATCACAGCCAAATAATCTACATCTAGGTTTGGCTTTTACACGCCAGCCCGATAGAAGTATGGGCCAAAGTAGCACTTTTTGGAAGCCTGAATTTATTTCCTGGCTTCAGCACTATAACTTTGGACCTGGTTAACATTGATTAGCCATGTGAGATTGTACATAGGACCCACCCTGGCAGTGAACACATATATTCTGCTTTGAAATGAGCTGAAGGGATCCATGTGGATATTTAATTCACATCTACCATCTGTTATGATGCATAGTGTTTACCTGTTAGCGGTTTATGAATGAGAGGTTGAAATCAAAGTTTCTTACGTGTGAAAACGTGCATATTTCCAAAAAATATTTAAATATATCTAATGAAAATCACAAAATTGTGAGTTTTTAGATTTATACCAAACATAGATTTAACAATTCAATACTCGAGTAAATTAGTGAAAACTACATGTTGTTTGACACTGAAAACCTGACTTCTATTATTACTAAGACATTGACTTGTTATATTATCATTAAGCTACATGGGTCCCATGGTAGCCAGATGGCTCAGCACTCCAACTACTCAGCTGTCACCACTTTGCAGGTTTGAATCTAAACAAAGCTTGCCGTGAATGAATGTGGTTTTCAAGTGCAGTTGGCTGACAGTCTCACCGCAGTTACAACTGACCACGTTTTGCATTTAATTTGGCTAAATTGCTGCTCTGAGAATCAAGAATATTGGTTTGAACAGCATGGGATGAACATTTATCTCTGTAGCTGGGCAGGTGGGAAAGTGCTGCCCCTATACTGTAGAAAATTGGTCACTTGCAAATATTTTTTGAAGCAGTTCTGCAACATCTCCTTCTACAGACCATTCTCGAACACAAGAGGATGCAATGCTCTACGAGATTTCGGAATGGGTTCTTCATCTCATGAAAAAAGCACATTTGAAATAGATTTGTGGAAAAAGACAATAATGACATTAATTACCACATCAGTATCATGGGACCTCCTTTGCCAGTACCAAAATATGATAATAGGTTTTTCCCCTTTTTTCTAGCAACAAAACAGGTGTTAAGACGCTAAAACACCACACAAGTATCGTGGTTAATGCGGACATGATTCCTTGTAAAAGGTTTCAGTTTGGTGTTTTAGCGTCTTAACACCTGTTTTGTTGCCAGAAAAAAGGGGAAAACCCTGTTATCATACCACATCAGTCCCACGCTTAGACCAATTTACTTTGCATTTTAGACTCTGCTATTCTGGTGCGTACCGTAGACAAAAATAATCAGTGTCATGGGTTAGGAAATCCATGCTTAATATGTAAACATGAAATGCATAAAACGATCTGTCATGAAAGACGGAAAGACAAATTAAGTCACGGGGTGACTGATGTTTGCTTGTTTGACAAAATCTTCACAATCACCCCATATCTATGTACTTTGACTATATCTGGTATTCTCACAGTTGCAGCACATTATTACATTTTGTATTGCATTTTCTCGCAAAGAGGTGATATCGTGACATTGTATATGTTCGTGCGGATGTCATATTTGTTGAAGAAACCCGAGAGAATGTGTCGTAATAATTATTTATTTACGTCGTGTATTTCATTGTTTTTGCTGGTCACAACTGTATTCACATATTGAGACATTGCTTGCCTTCGCAGACGCAAGTTCACACTCGAATGCATGTTGACACAGCTTGGTGGGTTGGGAAGAGTTCATTTGCACAATCATTTAGACGCTATTCCAACAGAATTACCTTTATTTCCATGTTAACAGGAGTGAGTGCCAGTGTGCCCGAGTGTAAATGATGGAGATATTTGATAATTACCCACATGACAACTACAAATTAAGATCGATGTGATAACTTTTCATTCCATTATGTATATGTGCATTGAATGTCATTCCAGCACTGCTGCAAATGTACTCAAGAAATGTTTTATAGCTGCTGTGTGTGGATTTGAAAAAAAGGGAATATGAATATCCAATTAATTATAATAATGGTTATTTTTTTTTACTTTTTACAAAATTAATGGGGATAAAAAGTGAAAATGTTTCTTACAAAGTGCAGCAACATACGGATAAAAGTAGTGTTGCCTGAATCGTATAGGGGATGGGACGTTTCCACCTTGTAAGATGCTTAGTCTGATTGCAATTAATCGGAAATGCATTCGATCAACCACTGTGCTGGACAGAAATGACTGGTCCACCGACTGGTCCACCGACACATTCGTTGGTAGCTTTGGTTTCATGTGTGCGCCCCTGTGTGTTTGCGTGTGTGCAATTATGTGCGTGTGTACACACGCTATGTGTGTGTGTATGCATTTATGGTGCAACGTCACGTATGTGACTCGGCTGGGCACTGAGATGCGGGCGGATATTTGAAACGGTCAGATATGTGAACACCATGCACAAATACTGCACTGGGTGCGGACGTGTAATTGGGCAGAGCGGATAACGTTACGGTCAGATGCGTGAAGTTAAACTGTACATCTTTATACAACAATGACTTTGTAACATTACGGACGTGCATTGGTCTGTTTCGTGTTGTGATTACTACACTTGTATTAAATGCTGTGCACATGGAGCAATATACGGTATGTGTCCCGGCACAGTTTATCCAGTTTTACAAAAGCTAACAATGTCTGAATAATGGCCCATAACACACCCGGTAAGGATGTTTTGTCTATTTTACGACATAGAAGGTACAAGATATATATTTTAATGTTTTGATATGCATCGCAGAAGGGAAGTTAATTTCTGCCATAACTTAAGATTCGGGCATCGATGCAAATGCAAGTGCTTGCACAGGAAGATTACAAGTCTACGATCATGTTCGCTAGCTTGTGGGCTCAGTTTGTCTTGATTACTTAATTCAAGGTGTTGAGTTAATTTCATTGGGTTTTATTCAGTGGTTGACGGTTCTGGGAGCAGGATAAGTAACACAGTGGTTTGTGCAGAATCAACTCGATTGAAAGCAACAGACGATGTAATTTGTGGCAAAGTTCCCAATAAAATAGGGGGATGGTTAAACATGACATTTAATTGCATGGTGTGAGAATGTTTAAATCAAAAGCAAATGGTTTACACTACAGTGTGAACATATACCCACCGTTTATCTTCAGAATCTTGAGATGCGGTCACATTTAGCTTCTATATTAGTTCAAATTCAATGTAATTTCACAACCACCCCAATACTCCTGGTGAGACCATAAATGTGGAAACCGGTCCAAAGTTTGCTTAACAAGTGCTGTTTAGGCCAAGAGATGTATATACTATAAAATATTTGATGTGTAGATGCAAAATAGTAGCGCATTTAATTATTTAATTACCCTGAATGCTCCAGTACAGTACGTAGTTGTTATTTTTAAAATATCCTTTGGTGTAGTTCTGTGGGCTGTAATACTGACTCTAGGAATAGCTCTGCATTTGAAAAGACTGCTTTGAGATATTGAAAATGTTAATTACATGCGCATATTGAAGTAGTTGCTATAATCTCACCTGGTACTTCATTTGAAATCTGACATGGGATATGACTTCAACACGAACTTGAGGCACGAGTGCAAAATAAATATTGGCATTTTGTCCAGCCATGAAGTACGTAAGCTCACAATGTGTATTCTGCCCGTTAATACTCCTGGAAATAGGGAAATAACGATGTACACAAATCTGAAAAACTGGGAGCTTGAGACAGCCAGAGTGATGGACTGCAGAACGTGTGTGCACTAAGTGAAGAAAGGTACAGAGTTGCAAGCCCAATCACAATAATGGCATGTTGAGACAGGTCCTTAGAATACTAAATTACAAAAAAATGGCAAGATCCTCCCCATTCAAACAAACACAGGGCTATACATCACATCCTGTTTTACAGACCTCAGCAAGTGGTGTAATTCCACATTCCTGTGGCAGGGGTGAGTCTATGCATATTACTTTCCTCAAAGGCCAGGAGTTGAACTCACAAACTTATCATTGTGAGCTGCACACCCTAATCACCGCGCCATGCAGCCAGATGCAATGTTTTCCTTTGCGAGAAGCTTTATTCAGCAATGGTCATGCACAGCACGACAATCTGGGTTCTGTAGTCTTAGAATTGCCCAGACTCCTATGTCCGGCTGTGGCATCACACAGGAATGGCTATATATTGTCACAACCACTCTACAAACGTTCTGACGTTCCCTTACTATTATCTAGTAGGACAAAAAAAAAAACATGCTATGTAGAACTTCTAGATACGTGCATATACGTATTATAGGGAAAATAACGTCGCATAATGTTTTAACATTTAGGTTTGAGAATAAAGTATTGTAAATTAATTTTACACGCTTAAGAGATCGAATACCATGTGAATGTATTTTTAACTGATGCCGCCGATAAAACAAAGCTGCATATTGTATTCTACTTGAAATTAAACGGACGGTATTTATGCTAAGATAGTATGAAAGGAGGGCACGAAGATGTGATTCCAGGCTGCATTCTAGGTGTGTACCTTCAGCTTGGTTCAGAATCGAATCACACCAATTGTTGCAGCAAAAAAGTCATCACTTCGGTGAATCAATATGAATGTGACCCAATCATCATCGACGTGTGAACCAATGTGTCAATCAATCATATTTCAATCATTTAGTATTAAGAATTGGTAGTTGGCTGAAGTCTTCATTCGAATTACAAATTGATTAATTTAATGGATTGCTAGATGATAGATTCAACAATTCACTGCCAGTAATAGCTTGGCCACTTTGCAGCCCAAACCTACAACACCTCGTGTTTCCAAGCAATCTCCCATCCAAGTACAATTCGGGTCCAATCATGCTTAGTTTCGAGATTTGAAATCTTGGGCACATCTCGGATGACTTGGTAGGTCCTGTAATTATTTCTAACACTGACAATGATGCAATTTAATGAATATTATGGTCACCAAGGATGTATAAAGCACGGCAAAGCACTTTAGTGAATGCCAGTCTTCATAAAAAACTAATTCTAAGTTATATGTGAATTAAATAATTAATCGTTATATTCATGTTGCGGTAAATTTGCGAATTGATTACTTCACGGCATCTTTCAATCTGTGTGTCTATGTAATTATTATATTCTTGGGTCTTTTGGTAATTATTATTTCGGGTTTGTGTGTGTGTGGCAGCCACACATCGATTGGACCATCACCATCATGTAAAAGTCGCACATTCACATCACGTATTGATGTCCCGATGCTCATTATCGCGATACAAAGATAGCGCAAGATGTCATGTCATCCATGCTGTGATGTACTGCGCATTCCCTTGCATGGCAAAGATGACACTGTACAGTGTAGACATATCTGGCTACAGTCAGTTTGTGATGTATTCTTCATTACGTGCAACACAATAACTGCGTCTGAAGAGAGATCCACTCCATAATTTTGGGTCATTCCAGGGTGGAGGTGTATGCTCAAATGGTATGTGGGACACATCCCAAATGGTAATTTTTTAAGTTACCTTTAAAGCTGGTCGACTGCCCCCTCTTGTGTCGACTGCCCCCCCCCCGCCCCCCCAACACTGCCTTATCGCATAGACATAGAGCAGGTTAAAGAAGAGGGTATTAAGGTAGGAGTGCTGCTTGAATGTATGGACCAGAGAGCTGGGCTCGAAGAACAATGGAAATAGGCCGTTGGAATTTAAGCACAGGTGTCTGAGAGACGGATGATGGGAAATGCATGGCAAGACAAACTAAGCAATGTGGAAATCCGGAAGGGAACGTGGCAGGTAAGTGGTGTGTGTGTTTGTATGATTTGGCGTGACAGGCTCCACTGGACGGGATGTGTCTCAGGATGGAGGAGGGCTGGTTACCGCGAAGGGCATTGGGAGTTTTGACTTTAAACTTTCGTGACTGCGGGAATTCATTTTCTTTGGTTCTTTCGGTAAAGTCACGTAAATAGAAGAAAATATATATATGTTTTACAAATTCTCTCTGCCTGATGAAGACCGCTTGTGTTGCCATCGAAACGTCGTGAGTTTTTGCTTTTATTATTTTAAATTTCTTTTTATTTCTAAGTTTTAATTTTATTTTACAATTTTTATTGTGGGTTTTTTTTGGGAAAAAAATGATAGAATTTTTTTTTTCTATTTACATGACTTTACCGAAAGAACCAAGAATAGGCATTGGGAGTGGTTTCCACGAGTCCAGCGACCAAGACCACTACCCAAGGCTAGTGGGGATGACCGTAAGGGCAAATGATGGAGGTTGCGTTTTTACTGTGCAGACAGCTGCGGGGTTTGGCAGAGGGCAGAACGCTTTGGCGAGGTGCAGTGGCATTAACGACTTTGGCCATGATGACATCTTGATCTTGATTGATCTTGAACAGTCATGGGCATTGCCGCAGTTTGACAAGTTGGGGGGAGCTATACCTAACTCCTTTGCGGAGACACGGGGAGAAGGAGGGAGGTTGATTTCAGGGGTGGAACGATCGAGCGATTAATCAAATGTTAATGATTACACTCATCATATATACAAGTGTAATGACCGAAAAATGACCCAAGCCATATGCAGCCTAACGGCTATTTAAAAATAAACAAAGGTCTACGTTTGGAAGAATGAGGCCTCCACGGTGAATGATCGAGAGGCAGACTTTTAAAGGGATTGGAGAATAAGGGTTGAACGGGAAAACAGAGAGGATCCGTTCAAGGGAACGGGCAGGGATTAGCTAAAGGTAAAAACAAGGACCAAGAAGGTTCGAGAAAGGGGGCTGAGGGATATATAAGGGGAGAGCACGAGGAGTCGGGACGCTCGGAGGAAGATACAAGCAGGAAGACAAGAAGGAAGTCCAGTGTCCCTCATTGTGGACGTCGTTAGAAGTGTTCCTAATTGTGGAAAACTTTCAATAAAAGTGGCTCTTCTCATTACTTTGTCGTCGGAGTCGTTACACATGGAATAGTGTAAGAATCCACGTTTTTATATTCCCATGCGTTCCATGTAATGCATTCAGATATCACTTGCCAATTATTTTCGTTCAGTTGATTTCGCTTTCATCATCAGACCTCGTTTGCCAGTACCAAAATGTAAAAATAGAGTTTTTCCCCTTTTTTCTGGCAACAAAACTGAAACCTTTTTTTTACAAGGATTCATGTCTGCATTAACCACAATACCTGCAGTCAAAATGCAAACAAAAAACATACTATGATAATATATGATGCATTGTCCTTGAAACTGATTGGCCCACATCAAAAAGGTTTCAGTTTTTATTTCGCTTTGTTACACGCACGATCCCGTCTAGCCAGCTGTCCGGTTATTTTACACGGGAGTTCCGTGGTGCGGTGTGAACACCAAAGACAAAAAATATCAATATTGTAGAGAATGAGTATAGGGCCTTTAAGGATCATTGCACCACTAACAAACGAGTTATTTAACGGTCGTAAACAAAACGCGAGAATCAAGAAACAATGCGAATATAATATGAGAGCAAGAGGTACCGGTTAAACTTAGGTACAGGTGCAAGTAAGCTCTATATTTTAGCCCAACAAACCACTTGAAGTATCGCTCGCTCCCTTGTATGTTGGATTGCAGTTGTAATCTGTTTCTATTGAGCATATCCCTCGAGTGTCGCAAACTTCCGAAGCTTTTGCTCTATCTGTCCGATTTTAAAAGACTGCACTCATGTGAATAGAGTGTGATATGTTTGAGGTAAGATTCAGTAACGTACTAATTGTCAGTGTTCTATTTACACGTACTGTATGAAATAGAACGTGTAGATAATATATATAGTGCCAATAGGCTGTGAACCACATGTAATTTCAATACGTCATTGTCTTTTTTTAAACGTCTTAATCCATACTGCTCATTAATTGTATCTTAAACATGTTGTACTCAGTAGGGGTATAAAAATGTACCTCCCATCAGAGATGAAATTAATTTATGGAATTCAGTGCTGTGACTTGATTAAATAATTATTGATATATTGCCATGAACCAAATGTCCGCTGGTAACTGTGGGGTTCGAGTGAACCCATTGCAGGCAACGGAAATAAAAATATAAAATTTAATTGTGAGCTTAAGACTATCGATTCCTGAATCGATGCATTATTACACCTCTTGCAGTTAATGCGGTAAATATAAAGTGATTAAGCAATATTTCCTACTATGGCACTGATGCTAAACTTGGACAAACAAAATGGAACAAAACGTTGGTAAGTGCACAAATAAGCATGGCCAGATGCACGTTTGCAATACATTTGAGAGACAGAGGAACACGTGGGTTAAATAATAGAGGCAATGTTCAAGAGGGAGGGAACGTGCCTGAGAGGATGTACAATGTGCGGAGATGGAGCAAAGAAAATGGCTCGTGTGCTGGTTCTCGTTGGATTCTTATCTCACAGCACTGCGAAAGACGGAGGTGGCTCGTGGAGACGAGTAAGTTATGGCCGGTGATAATTGAAAAAGGTAAAAAAATATATGATTTAGTCCTGGACTTTATTTCAAGATGTAGAAGAAAAGTTAATTCAACCTACTTAATAAATTATATCCATCGCTTGTCCAGCTTGGAAACATTGCTTACCTTCAAAAGTCCATGTAATTGTGTTTGTGGGTATCCATGGCACTGTTTTTGAATGTACGCGAGCAACGTGTAAAACCTTTTTTTTAAATTCTTACAATAAGCGGTTGATGCCATGGAAAACATTACTTCACCATGCTTCCATGTGGCACTACTTTGATAAAGGCCACGGGCATGGAAATGCACACTTTGACATTGCCAAAATTGCCACGTACCGTGCTCTATTGTAATTTACTTGAGTTGACGTACACACACCTACGTAGGAGAAACCGGCTCTTCACCAAGAGTGGCATGAACTGCGATTGGCTTCATCGCTCTGCGGGCAAACGTGATCTTTGGAAGAGAAAAAAAATTACCCACGGACGAAGGCATACCGGCAACATAAACAATCTCCCGCATGCTAGCGTGCGGGATATTTTTTTTGTTACAACCAGAGCACATGTGTGGCAACACGGAAACGGATAACTCATTGGAAAGGCATCGCCGTGATCTCTGTAATTAAGCAAGCGAGCCCCCCCCCGCCGCGAAGATTATAATGAGAGCAGAGCAATACGCGTCGCTACCAAGAATAGCGGCCACATTTAATGCGTTTCGCTCGTCAGCCCGCGGAGGCTGCTACTTTGAACCAAATTGTGTTCGCTACGACACAACGGCTTGTCTCGAGATTTTAAGTGTCATTTGCCTATTCCATCCCCCCCCCCCCGCTGACAAAATAAAAGATTACAGCAGTTTTGCAAACGCCGATAGTAAATTGGAATTGCGGCTCATGTCATCACTCCTGTTTCAAAGGAAACGTACTGTTGGAAACGTTTAGTTAAATAACATTGATCTATTGTTAACGTTTATATACGTTTGGATTTATTTAAACCCTTTTACAGTGTGCATAAGTGTGCAAGGGTGGAATGGGAGGCCAATTATGCCATTTGGTTTGGTAAAAACACACAATACTGTACACCATTGCCACGTATTTTCTGTAAAGCACTGCCAACAACCAGCCAAAGCAAGCAGATGTTTCCTTACCTTCCTGTATATTGTGAGTTACTGTACATCCATAACTTTCCAGTGGAATGAGTGTCCCACGTGTGCCCGTTCGCGAGGAGGTCAACGTGCAAGCCTCACGGCTGGTGCAAGAGCTTCCACTAGAGGGCGGTCCCGAGTACCCGTCTAGAGAGAAGGCTTCGAAAATGTTGCTTAAGGGGCCGTCCATAAATGACGTCACGCGATTTTGGACGAGTTTTTACCCCCCCCCCCCACCATCGTCACACGACGTCACAAAAAGTCAGACCCCCCCCCCTCAAATATGACGTCACAAAGCTCTCCTTCCCCCCCCCCAAAAAAAATATAAAACATGTTACAAATCTTGATTTAAAGCTTTCGTGACTGCAGTGATTCATATTCTTGGTTCTTTCGGTAAAGTCACGTTGAAGGGAAACAATACAATAATAAAAATATATAAAACAATAAAATTCTCACGACATTTCGACTGCCGTTGGTTTTCACACCTGATGATGACTGCTTGTGTTGCAGTCGAAACGTCGTGAGAATTTTATTGTTTTATATATTTTTTCTTATTTTATTGCTTCCCTTCAACGTGACTTTACCGAAAGAACCAAGAATATGTTACAAATCGCTTTAAACTATTGTCATTGTAGTGCGTATTTAATGTGGCGCTGCACTCTGATGTTGTAGGAGAAAACATAAAAAGAAGTCTATTTAATTAAGTAGAACGTGTTGCCTATATTTATTTAAAGTTGCGCATTTTGCTGTGACGTCACATTTCTCAAACCCCACCCACCCCCCCTCTCGTCACACATCGTCACAAACGTCTGACCCCCCCCCCACCCAGGTGCGTGACGTCATTTATGGACGGCCCCCTTACATTATCACACCATAGGGCACAATCTGCCGGTCGACTGTGGTGAGCCCATGCACACACTGCTGGGTGGACAGAGGTGGTGGTACTTGGGGAACTTGCTCATTGTTCAAACTTCCGTGCGCGTAGGGATCGGCCCGGTTAATCTCCGGGTGTGCTCGCCATTAAATCGCCGGCAGAATCCCAGTGTATGTTTATTCATATCGAGCGCAGCGCCATTCATCTATCGTTTTATCCGTATGTGTGTGATGTGTTGCATGAAGTCTTGTATATGCATGTGATACTGTTACCTTCAGTGTGAGCAATTTCCACCAACACAATCATACGTTGTAATGTACAATGCAAGTCATTAATACAGACGTGAAGAAGAAATTTGCGTTATATTTACGAGTGTTTCAGTAAGCAAATACAATTTTTTATATATATTTTAAACTTATTTTAGCGTGATATATGTAAACAAATGCAAAGTGAATGGGGCACGATCCTGGTACTCATCAGTATTTCCAAATTGTGCCACTAGATTGCAGACATATCACGTGATCAAAAATGGTAACGCCCTTGCACAACTGCACTTTAGAAGAGCAGTAAGCTGCTGTTCATGTTTGTGTCCCCATTAACACTTTATTTAAGAATCAACCTGCAACATTTCAAGAATCATGTGAACTGTGAAAACATTTACAAATGGGTGCAAATGGCTGCTTTGAGATAAAAACAAATGCATTGATTTCACATACAAACATAGCCAATGAGACACCACAGATACAATTCCTGTTTTCTTTATGACCTCTCTCGTGTAATGTTTGACACCTATTGAGCTCACACTTCTTGGTAATTGAACTCGTCATGGATTACTCAATCAACTCTGCACACACGAATCCGCACAGCCACTGATATGTGGTTAATTTCGACTTGTCCGTCATCTAAAATCATCCTGTAAACACAATGTTTGTTGAAGCTGAACCATCAACTGGCCTCCCACTTATTATGCCATCGCAAACATGTTCACATGTGTTTGCAGTCATTCCGCCCATTTGCAAGTGTGACCACAGTTTGTGCAGTTGTCGCCCAAATCGGAGTGGACAAAAAAAGGAAATAATGTTCTTCCAATGTGTGGTTGTAATTCGGGCTCCACCACCATCTTTGATAACATGATATAATCTGCCATCTAAGTGGCACAATCTGAAAAGAAAAAAAAATACAGTAGCAGGGTCATGCTCCATTCACCAACCATTTTTTTTTTTCAAAACAAAAAATTGCACTCACTTCGCATATAGAATATTTTTTTTTTAAAAAAATCTCTACCAATGAAAGCTCTATCAATGATTTGAAACCACATTATACTGAAAAATCACAGCACTGTGGGACTGCAATGCATAACTGCTTTTAATATTATTCACAACATGCATTACAAATAGGTTATGCGCCTCGAGTCTGGCTCGGAGTAATTGCAGCATTAAACAACGGATCATCTGGTGGCATCGCCACGCTGCCATTGACAGATAGAGTGCCAGCGTCCTCCTCCACTTCCCATTTATGAAAGTGTGCTCTCATTACTGTACGCTCAGCGATTCCTTGCGACGTGGCATGAATCAAGGGCTGCTTGTGGTTCGAGCAGGGCCTCGGGGATTCCTCTCGGGGGCAGCGCTAAGGCCTGAGTTGGCAGGCACCGGGGCCTCTCCCTTTGAGACTAATTTTAAACTCTGCCTTGAAAATGTATCCGTGTGTGCCCCGATCGAAAGATGACTGATGTCGTGGTGGCTGAAGGCTCCGTGAAACTCAGGGAAGGGAAAAAGGTTTGTTGCGTTCCTTTCTTTTTTACATTTCTTCTTCCTTTTTTTCGTGAGTTCCAATTAAATTTTCAACAACGACACTATCACCTCGGTAACTCTGTCTCGTTCGTCCAGTGGAAAACGCGATGGGTCGTGCTGAAGAAGCCCTCGCCCGTGGCCGGTAAGTCAGCTGCGCGGGATAGCCAAATCCGCCTTGGGCTGTTGACGCTCACCCGCTCGCGGGTCTTGCGGCGTTACCGCTACGTGCCTTCTACTTTCCAAGGGTCGACGGGGATGCGACAAACGTGGAAGTTTGTGCCGCGATTCAAGCGAACCCTTATCTGCTTTGCTTTGGCCGGCGTTTCTTTCGCGGAGCGAGGATTTGCGACAAAATGTATTTCTCGCCGTGGAAACGAGCGCGGATTGGGATAGGCGGTTTTTTTTTTTTGCACGTCGCAAATCGCTTTCACGTGCGCGGGTCTGGGACTGAATAGTGCTGTGGTGAAGGTGGTTTCTGCTGGTCAGGCAACTTACTTGCTGTAGGTTTGCTGAATATCATGGGGGTTTTTTCTTCTTTTTTTTAGCGCGTGCATGTACACAGATATACTTAACTATTTCACCGCAACTCAACTGAAGAGGAACACGTCGGAATGGGAAGGACACGGATAGCGCTGTATTAATAGCGTGAGAAAAGGATTATATAAGTGCGATATGTATTTGCTTTGATCGTTAAAACTTGATGATGTCTTGCATAGCAAATCACATTTATTTAAGTGACGTGTATGCTTTGCCGGCCAATTAATGTTTTCACATTACATTATTAAAACACACGCAAAATAACTGCATTTATAGATCCATGCAAATAAAATGTGTGTTTTTGTGTATTCCCGAATCATCGTCACACAAATATATATATTAAATGATTTAAGTGATAATGTACAGGTGAATAAATGTAAAAAAAATGAACTAATGTTTTGTAACAACTCCTTTGTTCAAACAATAATACATGCGCGTACTATTTAACGTTTGAAAATGTACGGAAGAGCCGTGGAAATCTCTACCTGTTTACACGCCACCTGTGTTCATTGCGGATAGTTCTCGATTATATTTCAGCATGATTGATTGAACATGCCAACAGCTGGTCAAGCAGCATGACCGGTTGTACATGGCTTTAATGAACCATGAGCGCTGTTCACAAGAACAGATGAAATGCATTAACTGGAAATAGGGTTCATATTCATAAAGGTGCCAGTATTTTGTTTGCCTGCTGTGCCACTAAAACATCATTCACATTGAAGTTCCGATGCGATGAGAATATGCTCCTCACACTAAACTAATAAAACATTTTAATAATAGGGTTTTTCCCCTTTTTTATGGCAACAAAAACTGAAACCTTTTTACAAGGATTCATGTCTGCATTAACCACAATACCTGCAGTCAAAATGCAAACAAAAAACATAATATGATAATATATGCATTGTCCATAGTGTGTTTTTTGTTTGCATTTTGACTGCAGGTATTGTGGTTAATGCAGACATGAATCCTTGTAAAAAGGTTTCAGTTTGTTTGCCAGAAAAAAGGGGAAAAACCCTATTTAATACATTTTGGTACTGGCAAAGGAGGTCTAATGATGTAATAAAACATTACAGCATGTTAACTATGTATATATAAAAAAACACCCATAGCGAAGGCGTTCGTGGGTATGTTGTGTGCGAAGGGGGTGACAGTGGTGCTAGAGTTTGCACTCTGTGCCATGAAACCTGGTAATTGGAGTTTGATTCTCGTCCATGGCTAACATCAGTGGCGGGTTATATTGGAAACTGTCCTGGACCCCTCCTTTACCAACCCGCATTGAACATCGTGGTGAAGTATGGTCAAATCATACCCATGCCACGGTGTTACAAAAAAAAACCCCTTCATCTAGCAGGGGATTGACAGAAGATGTATACCATGAACTACATCAAAATTAACAAGTGTAAAACAGACGTGTCATGATTTCACAATGGCGGAAAGTACATAGCATTCAAATTCTGTAACAATGTTTTATATTTACAACACCTACCAATCAATACAGCGGTAAACACTATCAAAATATTTCGGAACATGAAATGTAATAAATAATGGCATATTACTTTTAAGTTTCTATACATCAGAAGAAATGTATAGCAACAGTATTTTATATCAATGATGGATAATTCCCCAAGAATGTGGAATTATTTGTATGATACTGTGTATATATGTAACGCATTATTGCGTAACATCCCATACTTTCACAGTACTAATTGCCATATATACATCATACTTCCAGGCTCATATACGTTTCCCTCGTGTTTGATAGCTTTCTTAACTCGCACAAACTGTGTGTAGTTAAATATTACTTTTAAAACGACCGCCATGGAGATGGAGCGATGAGACAAGCTCATGTGCGGGTGCAGGTGGATCATCACAAGGCATGATTGTAGGAAATGGGGGGGGCGGCTTGGGAAGGCCTTCATCCAGCAGCGGATTTACTCTGGCTACTGATGATCATGATGATACCTCATTCCATTGTGTCAAGATTAGAACAGAAACAAGCATGTTGTGAGATTGATCTTGCTTGCTGCATCAAGTTGCCCTTGAGAGTACGTAAGGTATTCCACGCGTGACCAAATGTAATTCTAAGACCGAAAATTGTGACATCACCTCTCAACAGCCATGCATGTGTATGCACACTGCAAGGGTTTATGTTGACGGAGGTATGTTTCAATGTGAACAAGGATTTGCCTTTTTCCAAGTGGTGTGGATGCGTGATTAGAAGTGGGATGCCCTGGCCGCAGTCCACATTTCTAGGCCATGTGATTACAAAAAAAAAATCTCGCTGGAGCCAATGAGGGAGTCCCAGGAGTCCTGGGAGACGGTTCACAGGACTCTGCCGACGGGAAATTATGTAACATAATAATTGTTATTTAAAGTCGCAAGGTGCAGCGTGTGTGTTTTGTAGCTGCTGCATCTCAGTTTATTAATAGATAGGAAAAATACAAGAGGGGGAGGGGGGGGGAGAGATCTTACGTACTTGAAAAGACACGCGTGATGGTGACCGCTTCCATAGTACTATTTTAGTCTTATCAGCCCCAACACTTTGCTTGAGCTATCCGATATTAATTTATCCGATATATATGTGTCGCTTGCATTCTTATTATAATTGGTTTATTATCAAGAGAAGCGAAAGTAGAACAACAACAAAACCCCAAAGGTGATTTCACAGAGTCTATAACGTGACAACATGATCATATTCAAAAATATATTGTTGAGAAGACCATGTGATTGCCTTGAGCAACTGGGGTTGTGCAACACAAGTCTATTAGGTCATTTGAACGTAATCGTAATAAGATGAACTGCCGTTGTGTAATTGAACACGTTGACTGCCATACGACCCGCCTGTGGGTCATATGGAACTTTCGCTGTGGGGTTCATGTGATCCACCTGTGGGCCATTTGCCACTTTAGATTTTAAAGGCTCTGTATTTTTCTCACCCTCACTGTATGGCTTGCATAATGGTCCATTTAAGATGCCGACTTCCATTAGAAAAAGTATTTTCATTACGTCTTCTTTTGCTCAATTATTCACGGCAAAGTAACGCATGTACCTGTGATGGGTACAAATTTGCACTTCAGTTTTAGTTGCATAAGGGGAGTGCCGATTCTTTTGTCTTCAACCGAAATGAAAAAGGGTAGAGCATGCTTCTTATATACGAATTCGCTCGTGGAACATTAGCACGCGAAATATCGAGCAAACCGAGCAATTGCTCCGCAACGTTGGCGCTTCTCTGGTGGCAACGGTTGAAATGAAGACAAGCAGCCACGCGTGTCCTCACACGCTACGCTAGCGGCGACAGAAAAAAAACACAGTCGACATGTTCTATGTTGAGGGCTATATGAAAACCCCAGTGAGTTATATGGTCTCACAGTGATCCAATATCACTCAGAGGCCACCACCACTGTCAGTGTATACCAAAAGTTGGATTCCAAGATTGGGAAGCTTCATGGAAAACGTTTGCGCCAATAATGCACTGGTGGTCCTAATCATGCTTTTGGACACGGGGGAGGAATAAGGGAACAGGCAAAGAGAGGGCTTGGCGGTCAATTATGTTACATGATGTGAAATATTACCAAATGCTTTTGTCACAAATATAAATCTGAATAACATTGAGCCTTTTCGTTTGTGATCATTTGTGATAATTAGATAGGTGTAATGCAATTGTTTTAACATTTTATTCGCAATGCGAGAAATATTCAAAGTTACATAAATGCAGCTGAAAGATGAATGACTGTGCTAAAATTAACATGTATTTTTTTTTACGGAATGGGTAAATCAGTGATGCATTGTATATGGAAATGCAGCAAAACCATTTTGCTAATTTATCCATATATACCACATAGAAGCTTTTCTGTCACGATATTTTACCTTGTTGCATTTGTGGAACAAATGAAATATCTGACATTTTCATGTGCACATATTGCTTTATCTGTAAGAGTAATGTTTATTGGGATGTTATGTTTTGTAAACATTGACCTTAAGTACTAATAGTAAGAACAATACATATTTTTTATCACTGACTGAATTACATGCTAGTATACTTGTGTATAAATTATATATATATTTTAAAATGTATAACTATTATGACTGCACATATCACTGACTGAATTACATGCTAGTATACTTGTGTATAAATTATATATATTTTAAAATGTATAACTATTATGACTGCACATATTAAACATTTTGGGGTAGCTGAGCCCACTCAGATTGCTTTACCACATTTAGTCATTTTGTACGGACCATTAGTTGCTTAATTAGAATGGAACTGCAGGCTTTTGTTTGTCCACAAGGCAGGCTTAATTGAATGCATTGCTTCTGCCAGAAAAATATTGGTTCTTTTAAAAGCCCCGCACTAGTGTATTGAACTGTATTTCAATTCAGCGATTAACCTCTGTATTCCAATAAACCAACCAAATACCTGCTCCTCATGCATGCAAATGAAAGCCTCCTCAGTGTTTGATCATACTCAAGTTCCCACCTACGATACTTCTGTGTTGTAGGGAAGATTGTTCCAAAAAAATTAAATTTTTAAAGATGCTAACTGAACGTGTCTCTCTGCTAACAAAGTCACATCGCCTGATGCCACGTGACATCACTTTAAGAGGTAAAAAACATGAAAGTGATTTAACGTGACGTTATTTCCCGTGACACAAAACATTAATATCTTCCAGAATACACCATTGGAATCCTCCTTTGCCAGCAGCACATAACTCTGATAATGTAACTCTGATAACTCTGATAATGTATGCACTGTCCTTCAAGGGCAGTACATACATTATCAGAGTTATGTTTTTTGTTTGCATTCCGACCACAGGTATTGTGGTCAATGCAAACATGACTCCTTGTAAAAAAAAGGTGTCAGTTTTGTTGCCAGATAAAAGTGTAAAAAAACTGTTATCTTCCAGAATCTCGTGTCTAGTCCCAATTTGGAGACTTTTTTCTCGGATTAATCCGGAAATTGTGAGCACATCCCCCCCAGTCTGTTGTTTTCAAATGACCATGTCGACCGCAGACTGCCTCAACCTCCTAGCCTTCAAGGACAGGCGAGACAGCTGCATCGTGGAGAGCAAGAAGGAGAGAGGCAAGGCAGAGCGCGAGCGCCACAAGGAGAGGGACAAGCAGAAGGAGAGGCTGGAGAGCGAGCGGGAGAGGGCTGACCTCTTCCTGGAGAGCGTGTGCGGCCTGGAGGGGGGCCTGTCGCTGGAGGGATGCGACCACGTGCTAGCCATCATCTCCCTCACCCAGGTGCTGCTGCTGGGCTTCGACTCCCCGCGCAGCCTCGCCGAGTGGGATGAGCAGCTGCGCGACTGCCTGGGAGAAGGTGCGGGGACGGTGGTGGCCGCGCTTCCGGCAGCTTTCACGACACTTGCGTCGTCGCTCGAGCGCTTCTGCCCTCCGACATGTACCGCGGTCGTGCGTTCGGCATCGCGTTTCCAAAGAAGCTCCCAGCCGGCACGTGGTGTGAAACGTTGGACACCGCGCCGAATAAACACGCGGTTCACCTCGATGGCACATTGGAGAGCTATCAGCACGGCGGTAAATGCGTTCGTGTACATTGCCCGGTTACAAGCAGTATGCACGTTGCCAGTAAATGTGGCTACGTTTTTAAAGGATTACAGACGGCGGTTTCAGCGAGGTGGATAAAAATTGCGCACACAAATACTTGATAGTAAAAAAAAAACATACGTTTTTAAATGGCCCTTATGACCCAGTATGAATGTGGTCAGAAGTGAATTTTGGTTAAATAATGATGGGCGATGGACAAAAAGTGGAAAAGGATGGTTGGTGTTTAGCTGAGCTAGAGGAGTTGGTCATGATCGGCACCAACTGAGTCGTTCACGCTGGTCTTGCTGGCGTTGTGAATATTACAGGAGAATCGTAAATAATGCTGCAATGGTTTTTTTTTACTGTATATCGATCATTCGTATCTTGCCGTTTTTCATTCAACGTCATTTTTGACAGTGTTACACCTTGTGACATATAATTATAATGAGGTGAAATTAGTAAATGGCAATGAAAGGCGGAGTGACACATTACAATTATGCAGGTTGAGCAAACGCATTAACTCAAAATACATAAAACAAAGTAACACGCACTCAATCAAATACGCAATGCTTCCAAACGAATGCACGGCAGCAAAAATAGGTTCGTACATAATATGACTGTTTCTGATGTCAACGAACAAGGTGAACAGCACCTAGGACATCACATGGTAAAAACCCAATTTGGCATGGAAGGCGCTGGAAGCCACATGCCATCAATCAGTGACAAAGAAATGAATTTTTCCTAACTTGATCAATCAAAATCCATTTCACAACATATGGGAGGTGCAGTCGTCACCATATCTATAATTGTGGTCTAGATTTATGGGCAAATAATGTCATAGGATTAATGACACAGCAAGCGTGCCTGGGAGGTCTTGGTTGCCTGATGGGGTCTGACCTCTACCCATACTGTTAAACAGCTACGATCAACAACTGATACACAGCAGACCGGCCATCATGCATTCAGAAGATGTCAGCATATTACAGTTATTATCATATTTGGGAGACCTACGATTTTATATGGGCTCTTGCAATGAGCTATTAGCCTCGCCAGCACCACCACCACCACATTTCATTTCTAAATCATTGACCCCACGTGCAACAAACTCATCAAATCTGTGCAGTGAATCTTGCTCGGGAGCATTTCATTCACTGGTTTAGGGTACAGTACAACGTCACGTATCTGACTGTCGCATATCCACCACGATCTATCCGCCGTTTACACCCAGTGCCGTGTTGGTGTGAGGTGCAGCTAATTGTCTATGGATGTTCACAAATCCAACCTTTTCACACGCAGTGAATACCGTAACGTGTCCTTAATGTCGCGTACGTTCGCTTGCTTCTAAAGCAACAGTCAAACATCGTCCCCATGCTTGACACGGTTTGTGCTGCATAATTGTCCAGTCACCTCTTTGTGCAATGGTTGTTTAACTGTCACTTGCTATGAATGTTCACAAATGCAACCTCTTCACACATTCCCAGCGAGTTGGATATGCGACGCTGTGCACCTTGTGACATGCGATGAGTGTACCGCCGAGTGTGAGTGGTAGATTTACACAAAGGAGTGCAATAGTTTCACTGCAATGAGCATCCGTGTGCATTCCCAATTTGGCAACCATAAAACGTCAACACAAATCGACATCCTTAATCTACGTATGCAAGTCTACCTGGATATTACATCTGCCTATCAGTACACCATGTCTTTACATGACTGCTTAGTCATTTTATTGGCAAACACAAAATATTGGAGAGTTAGGTACTATATGAATTGCTTTTTGTATTTGATTGACTGATACATTGTTCAACTTTTAATGATAAACGAAGCATATATCCCAGAAAGTATGGGCATCTATTACCAGGCCAGATCATGCAAATTCAAACATTTATAGTTGTATTTGTTTAAGGGAATGTTCCAATTTCGTAATTGTTTTTATTATTATTTATAAATGTTTTATTTAGGCCTCGATATGTGAGATATTTGATGAATTGCTTACATAAGTGGCCAACTTTAGTATAATTTCGAATAGATCTTAGTGGTATTAAGAGGGCCTTATTAAGACACAACGGTCCTGCAGTCATTTCAGAATATGACTTCAAATAAACTCCCACTTGTATTTGACATTTCCTCACGGATGTGGTTCCCGTTATAGTTAATGACTTAATCGCTCAGATATTTTGTTGATACTTTTTCCAACATTTGCCATTTTCGTTGCGGTTGAATATAAAGCATTTCACCGCCATTCTGTGGCTGTAATGAGTAAAAAAAACCTACATGATTGGGTGTGAATACAGGCACCATTTCACCGAACTAAAATTCAGTTATATCCAATAAGTAGATGTGAAAAGTGTGATATAAATGTCATTATGAGATACAGCAACATATATATTACTGTGGCCTTCCAGTATATACTATATATTGAAATAAATATGGAATTTATTCCATCACTTAATACAAGGAGATCGCTAAACGGCTTTTCACGGTGTCCCAAAAATTATGAAACGTAACTCAATATCCATGGCAGCGTCTTAATGAAATATGCATCGTAATTGCACTTTTTATCCCGAATTTCTTAGAAAATATATATATAAAGCCACATCAACCATTCATTTCAATGACGCCACTTTTTATTAGAAGCTTCATATAATTATTGTACAACTTCCTCCGTTCTAATAAAATCACACCAGTTTAAATCACACCCCATTAACCTGATGATGATTGCTTGTTTTGCAGTCGAAACGTCGTGAGAATTTTATTGTTTTATATTTTTATTATTTCATTGTTTCCCTTCTACGTGACTTTACCGAAAGAACCAAGAATATTGTGCAACACTTAAAAACACCCACATATCACACTGAGTATGATCCAAAGCTCAATGTCATGTAGCCCAGGTTCATACATTAGGGATGAGATTCTGCAGCTGCAAACACAGCAAATATATTATACTATTTGATATCCAGTGAAGACCCCATTTCTGAATATATGAACTCAACTTCTTTTTTGTACATTTAGCACATGCTATGGGTCTTCTCAATGCCTCTCTTCAGTGTATTGCATTACTTATGAAGCGATTTTCTGCCTTATTTAAGATTACAGGGATATTTTATTTTCTGAATGGCATGGGATGCAATACAGTATATATATTCCTGCGATGCAATACAAAACCTCACAATCACATATATCCAGCAGCGGAACAAATCAACTGAACGTGAATCGTGTTTGCAATAGCTCTTGTTCATGCCAACGATAAATTCAAGGTGCAGTTCTGCATTTGCAGACAGGACCTCCACTAGTGGGAGCTCTAGAGAGCACCTCTAGAGGGTATTTAGCCTACTCTTCCATTTATTCCGCTGGGTGGACAGAGATTGGAGGTTTGAACTCTTTCCCATTCCAAGACGACTGCAAGTTGCAGGGTGGCTCCCGTTCACCACAGTCTCGGAACGTGCGAGCTGTTAGCATTAATTTTATACAGAGACGTAGTGCCGTTGCTTTTATACACATTGTACTCGCCGCAGAGAACTGTAGCGACATGACCGCACTCCCGCTGGGGCCAAACTGTGCCACACGCCCTCCCACATGGCCTTAAACTTTCGATTCCGTTCCGATGACGTACAGCTACGTACGTGCGTGTATGTCTATATAACCGATGACGTACATGCACGTCATCGGAATGAGAAAGGGTTAAGGAACGTGTCCCATTGTTTAAATGCCAGGAGGATAAACTGAACCTGCGATTTCTGGATTGCAATTCCATTCTAGATTTAAAGGTTTCGTGACTGCTAGGATCCATACTCTTTGGTTCTATTGGGTAAAGTCACGTAGGTGAAAATAAAATAACAAAAAAATCACGACGTTTCGACCACAACACAAGCGGCCTTCATCAGGTCCCTTCACCTGATGAAGGCCGCTTGTGTTGTGGCCAAAACGTCGTGATTTTTTGTTATTTTATTTTCACCTACGTGACTTTACCCAATAGAACCAAAGAGTATTGCAATTCCAGTTTGCCAACCAGCAGCAGCAGCAGCAGCATCTTCCTCATGCCTCGTATGGATAATTAAATATACACATTGCGAACTGCCCTCAGCACCACTCACGACCTCTTACATGTATTACCTCACTCTTGTTCATTCTGCAGTCATTAAGCTGACATAGGTTATTCAGCCATCGCCTGCCTTAATATTAATTCAGTAATTCACTCCTTTCCCCACGGTGCAGTGCATCCAATACTTCCTACAACCTCAGTCCCTGCGTTAATTAGCAACAGTCCACTCAAAGGCATTGCAAAGTGCCCTCGTCAGCCATCACCAGTGAAGATAATTAAGTGATGAATAGGTTTCGTATATATATACACACACAGGCAAATTGCGTGTTGTCAATACTGGGCTATTAATTTGAAATATATTAAACTTAATATGCATCTACTTGGTTATAAAGATAGCAAAAAATAATACAATTTTACATCAATATTTGTATATAATGAATATATAATAAAACTATTAATTTGTGCTGAAAGAAAAAATGTAAGTTGCCTGCCATCATCACCAAATATCCCATATACATGATGCCTGTTCAGCAGAATACTAATGCATAACATACTGCAGATAATAATTGATACACTTGTTTACAATGCAGGTCGATATCACAAATAGGAAAAACTAAGTTAATGTAGTTAAGCTTCTTAAATAATTCTACAAAAAAAAAAACACATCAAAGTGCTCAACAGTACCAACAGTAGCATATTGATTTGGCTGCTATTGGATCGGCAGCAGAAGTAAATCTCAACAAAGCACAGCCACTGTTGCCTGACCACCACAGGGTTATCCACCAGGTGGTATTAATTGCATCAACCATGAATGGACAATAGGCTGAGTCATCCATGGCCGGGATTTTAACCCCCACGCCCTGATAATTTGGGAGCCCTACTGACTCAAGGAAAACTCAAAGGTATTTTACGACGCGGCTAGCCGCAGCGTTTGGGACGAATGCCACTGGGCTTAGGCAAAGGGGCCAGGTTGTCACAAAGGAATATCTGGCCAACAACGAAAAGGATTGTTATAACATGCACAAAGTGAAACCGCGTGTTTGTGAGTAGGCAATGAATTACACCGTCGTCAGTTTATTCCCCGAAGCTTCACTCGATCCTTTTACCCGGGTTGAGGCTGTTCGTCTCACTCACACCGCAAGCCAAGCCACGTTTTCTCTCTGCCTCTCTCTCCTTGCACTGGTCAACTTCAGAATTTCCCGCCCAGAAGAATTACCTCCCATTACCCAACTCATTATTTTACTCAAGGCAAAAATGTATACCGTATTCTCCAGATGAGAATTTGTTGTTGTTTAAATGTCAATGCATTTTAAAGCAAAACTAAAGAGGGTGCGCTCTTATACTATGGTCGGTTTTGTTGTGATAAGAATTGTGGTATAATAATAATAAAAACAATAACAGCACACGACTCGCGCGTGGCTGAACGTGTGGGGAGCGGTGGAAGGAGCGGTTAGCTCCACCCCGAGTGCACCTTTCCGGCTTTCATTAGTTTGTGACTCACTAACAACACTTGCCCCAACAGTCTGCGGAGGCTATAACGTGGTAAGGGGCCATCCATTGAGTACGTACGCATGGAGGGGGGAGGGACGAGTTAACCCAAATGCGTACGCTTGTGTATGGGAAACAGGGGTGGGGGGGGGGGGGGTGAAGCCTCGATAATAATTTGTCTACATTGGCCTTCAAATGAGCCACAGTTCAGTGTCTTCAGCTGTCAGACAACAAGTACTAGCGTGAGAAGTGGGTCTGTGGGAGAGGTGTCACTTCGTGTGCCCACTGACTGCAGCCATCACGCAGCTCAGCAGAACAAGTGGCCAGGGTACGTGACGTTAATGCAGCCGACGGTGCACTATCTGTTTGCTTAAACACGTTAATACATTCGTTTTATCCTTGATCGTTTCTGCGTGGATTAAATATCGGCCGTCCTATAGGATTCGGGGTGGTGGTGGTGGGGGGGTATGCGTCAGGCGTACGTACACAGGTACTGGTGGTGCTGGTGGAGTGTAAAAAGTACGCGTGCGTACATGGAGTGTGGGGGGGAGGGCTCAAAGTTTAGACAGATTTCTGCGGTCCTACTCAGTGGATGGCCCTCTAGCTGGTTGTGGATGTTGTTATTGGTGGTGGCCGGTGAATCTTTGTTTGTGCCCCCCCCGCCCCACCGCCCCGCCCCCCGCCCCCCCAGTGCACAGCTTCGCGGTGTGGGTGCCGTCGGGTAGCCGTCTGGAGAGCGGCCCGGCCACGCTGCACTTCCGACACAACGCCTTCGTGCTCACGCGCCACTCGCCGCCCGCCAA